TTTCTAACGTGATGTCTTTAGATTAAATTATATTTAGCTACAATACATCTTATATACGCATGAAAAAATATACTAATTATAGCTTGGTTGCCTATTGATGATTTGCATTTAGACATGAATCTGATGAATTTAACTTTAGTAATAAAACAAATAGGTCTTATCCTCTCTTCTATATTCTGCCTATGCAAAAAAAGGTGTTGTAAAGATAAATACGTGTTTGAGAAATGATGCTCGTTTTGACAATTATGGGTGTGATCTAGTGGTAAAATGGTCGAGTTGTGAGCCCAATAAGCTTTAAGGTTCATATTGGTTTCCTATTGAATATCATATGATTTTACCTAGCACCAAATGCTATAGAGTTAGGTAGTTGTGTTGTAGGTTGTCAGTAAGTTGACTCAAAAGTAAATTTTTTTACCTTTTTAGTTTACAATTCGACAACTTCATCTGCTATCTAAACTCAAAATTACTCCCCAAGTTTGTTGTACGGAAATTTAGGACGAATTTCTGGTTGTATAGTGATGATTTGATGTTTAGTTCTCTCAAGTATTTCATTGTTTTTTGCACAATAAGTTGATAAGTGACAAGTTTGTGTTACAGGTCGTGCTCCTAATTCAAAAAGATTAAATTTGAAAGCAGTTGGTGTCGAAGTTGATGAACATGGTGCTGTGAAGGTGATTATCTATCTTGACTTTTATTATTGCATATCGTTTACAATGCCACCACCCCCCCGGTTTTTTGTTACCAAGGAGTTCAGTATTTATTTGTAATCTATCATTCTTTTAGCTTTTTAGTTTTTTTTTTTGGCTCGTTTTGTTTTTGGTTTTCGTTTTTAGTATCATACTTATGATTTCTTTCTTTCGTTCATTCTCAATGAAAGTTGGGGTTTTCACTAAAAGAAAATGCACATTGTTTTCCGATTTCTTTCAAAAAGATTACATCTCACTTGATTGTAATGTGTTTGTTCTGCTCTAAACTCTTTGTGTGGGGCAGCTAAGCTTTCATTTATAGGCTGTCGGTCACCTTCGTTTCCCTAGAAATATTTTGTGGAACGAGTGCTGCTACAAGGCGTGAAAAGTAGTAATTATGGAAAAAAGAAAAGCTGCAATATGGGTTGTCCCATTTATATCTGCTAATATGGTGTCAAGCTCATATAGTGGCTTTGAGTGGAAAATAATTGGAACTAGTCACTTTCACCCGACCAAAAGCTGCTTTGGTCAGTTTGGATGGATTTATCAATAGAAAGTTTCTATATAGCGGGTGAGATCCACATCGGTTGGGAAGAACGAAATATTCTTTATAAGGGTGTGGAAATCTCTTCCTAGTAGACGTGTTTTAAAACTTTGAAGGGAAGCCTAGAAGAAAAAGTCCAAAGAGGACAATATCTGTTAGCAGTGGATTGGAGGTCCCATATCAATTGGAGAAGGAAACGAGTGCCAGCAAGGACGCTAGCTCCCGAAGGGGGTGGATTGTGAGATCCCACATCAGTTGAGGAGGAGAATAAAACATTCTTTATTAGGGTGTGGAAACCTCTCCCTAGAAAACACGTTTTAAAATCTTGAGGGGAAGCCTAGAAGGGAAAATCCAAAGAATACAATATCTGTTAGTAGTGAGCTTGAGCGGTGCATCTCTACTACCATTGGAACACATTTGAAAGTGGATAATTTGCGTAGATGGTTTTACTGGATGTGCAGTGTATATAAGGCGAAAACTTAGGGACCAATTTCCTTTTTAACAATAAAATAAATATATACACACATTATAATCTTTGCTAGACATTATGCATTGAGAAACCCATTTACTCTTTCTAGAATTTCAGTTTTATTCATTCTATATATGTTACTCGCTTAATCCTCCTCCACTGGATGGACAGCGTAGCGGGATTAGCCTTTTTAATTCACTTATTGTGCCATTGTTAGGAATTTCTGTGTACTGTTTCAATCGTTTTTAGAGGAAATGCTTCCTTGTCCAGGTGGATGATTATTCACGCACGAGTGTACCTAGTATATGGGCTGTTGGAGATGTTACTAATCGAATGAATCTTACGCCCGTGGCTTTAATGGAGGGATCATTCTTTGCAGTATGTATTCTATTATATTCTTTCCAATATTAATCTATTAACAACTCTTTGCCATATTATTCATAATTCATATATTTCTTTTTCTATTTATTTGCAGAACACTGTTTTTGGTGGTGAACCTACCAAACCAGATTACAATCATGTGCCCTATGCTGTATTCTGGTAACAAATTGCTCTCTTTTAGTAGCACCCATTTATTAAAAAAGGCAATAATTTAAAGTGTGTTTAGTATAGATTAATAAGTGATTTGAGGATGATCAAAAGTTATTTTAAGAAATAAATTGCTTCATAGAATTGGATTAATTTAAAAACCTGTTATGAAGAAACACGACCAATAAATTATCTAAAAATGACGCTAAAGTGATTAGCTAGAAATCCTTAAGATATGAACTTCTAATGTAAGATTAATTAGTGATTTTAGGATGATCCGAGAGTGTTTAAACCCGAAGGTATTCTTAACAAAAAAAAATTTGTTTATTATTATTTATTCTGCTCCATTTGCAGCATACCTCCTCTCTCTGTTGTGGGCCTAAGTATTTGTTTATTATTATTTATTCTGCTCCATTTGCAGCATACCTCCTCTCTCTGTTGTGGGCCTAAGTGAAGAAGAAGCTATACAAAGAGGAAAGGGTGATATTCTGGTGTTCACTTCTTCCTTCAATCCAATGAAGAATACAATCTCTGGGTACGTACAACTAATTCACTTCAAAACTTCATTAATATATGGTGATTAATTATGGACTGGAGAACCTTCATTTTGACCTATTTTTTCATCTCAATATATAAAATCTGGGCCTAAATTTGTTAGGTTTCCAATGTAATTTCTCACTAGGAACACTAGATTACAAGAATGACCTCCAAAACATTAATCCAAATCCAGTTTGATAACCCGTTTTGTTTTTTATTTTCTGGTTTTAAAAAAATTATGTTTGTTTTTTCATATTTTTTAGGTAAACGTTTCACCTTTTTACAAATATATTTATAGAAAATTTTCATTTGGGAATTGGCATTTTGGTTTACTTTAAAACCATAATTGGAACCAGAGTGTTTTTTTTTTTTTTTGTTAATAATTGGAACCATAATTGATTATTGTGGTGACGTCAGCCTCAATTTTTACTCATATACGCGCGTTTGCAATTCTGATTATGTTATATAGACGACAAGAGAAGACAGTGATGAAACTAGTGGTTGATGCTGACACCCAAAAGGTCCTTGGCGCATCCATGTGCGGACCAGATGCTCCCGAAATAATGCAGGTACATTTTTATTTATTTATTTATTCGTAGTTAAACTTAAAACATTTATATGATTCGGTTAATTTCAGGGAATCGCTGTCGCTCTAAAATGTGGAGCAACCAAGCAACAGTTTGACAGCACTGTAAGTTTCATCCATCACCTATGCCTTTTGTAGGACAATACCGCTTCTAGGATTCTTACAAATTCGAGATTTTAAAAGATTTTCCTCTCTTTTTTTTATTTTATGGAAAAGAGGGAAAAGAACTAAATTAATTGTTAAATAAATAAGTACTTTGAAATGAATTAATTAAGTGAATAATAAATAAATACCAATTATGCCTAATAAGACTCGAAACAGTTTAAAATGTGATTTTTAAGACTGGAAACAGTTAAAATGTGATTTAAAAAACTCAATGCTTTTGGGATGGTTACTTGAAACAGGTGGGAATACACCCATCTGCAGCAGAGGAGTTTGTGACGATGCGAACTGTAACCAGGCGAGTTGAAGCGAGTGGCAAATTGAAGACAAATTTGTAATCCTACTTCCCATACATATATTTGTATTTTTATTATTTATTTTATATTGTTGTTTCGGTGTCATTGAGTTTCTTGATTGTGGGTAATCATCCTCCATGTGGGCCCAGGGACATACTTTTCTACTGATTTGTTGTTGTGCATTCGGTTGTGATGATTTTCGTAACTTTTATTTTCCCCCGTAGGATTGGTTTTTGGGGATTTTTATTTTATATTTTATAAAAAGGGTGTTTTTAATTAATAGATTCTGCAAATTAGCGAAAACTTTAACGAATTTGACCCTTTCATACCCCTTTGGTTTTGTTTGTGGATTTGATTTTGATTCATGCAAAAGGCTAATAATTTAGACTTTTGGTTTGAATTTTGAAAACAAAAAAACCTGTAGGTTTTAAGACTTTTTTTTTTTTTTTTTTTTGAGAATTCAAATATTTGTTTAGGGAAGAAAAATAAAACTTAGTACAGAAAATTGATGAAAAACGAGGAATTTTTAAAATCTAAAAATCAAATAGTCATCAAATAAAATGAATGAAAAAGATTCTGCTCATTTTTTTAAATCATCATTAAACAAATAATTTGACTCATCTTTAAAATTTAATGCTAAAATACATAGCTACGAGACAAATGATAGACTACATGATCCATTGTGAAAATAACTACAAGGATGTTTGAGTATAAATTTCTGACTAAATTGGAATGTGAATCAAAGAATATATATATATACACACACATAAATATATATATATATATATATATATATATATATATATATATATAAAAGATTTGAATTTTTAATTTAATCTTCTAATCTTAAAAGAGGTAAAAGAAAAATGAAGAAACCTTAACAATAAAAAATTATTCTCAGAAAGCTTAGCATTTGGTTTTTTTTTTTTTTTTTTTTTTTTTTTTTTTTTTTTTTTTTTTTTTTTTTTTTTTTTTTTTTTTTTTTTTTTTTTTAATGTAAACATTCACCAAAAACTTAATAGTATTTACGTAACGGACGAATTTAAGACCAACTATTTATTAATCTTTAAATTAAATTATCTAATGGCCCAACGTAAGCAAAGGATCCGGATCCCAATATTTGCGCTAACCTATATATATATATATATATATATATATATATATATCATATTCTACTTTTAAAACCCACATATCTGCCCCAACAGAATCATCATCTTATTTTTAGTGGCTATGAATTAGTAATATATATATATATATATAACAAAATTGAATAGGGATCTTAATAAGAGAACAATTAAATGGACGAGTGAAAAGTCATACCTATTGCAGTCTTCCCTTCGCATGCGTCGCATATTGTATAACCAAGGCCTTCGCAGTATGGACATTTTGCTCCTTCATCCACCCATTCCAGAAACTGCATAATTCAATCCATTCTTCTGAGTTACCACCACTTCTAAACTAAACTGAAGGCAATAAAGATGGGTGCATTAGTGGGGTGGGCGGCTTTACCTGTGGTTCAACATTTGGCTCACCAGATCCATCGCATTCTGAGAAACCAAAACTTGTTATATATTGAGTAGAGCAGAGGAGAGATATATTTATTTAAGAAGAGAGGTAGAATATGGGGATTTGAATCCTCCTCCGACTTCAGAGAAAAATTTAGATGTCAATTATCTTCGAACTAAAGAGTGACTTGACAAATATTTATGAAGATGTGTGGAATAAAATTTCAAAAGCATCCTGTCCCAAATGCATGTAAAAGTAAACGAGATAAGAAAGTTAAAAATGATATTTTAGAGAATCATTGATAAAAAAATAAAAATAAAACAACATGATTTGTTTATAAGAGAATTATTACAAGTTTTTTTTTTTCTTCAAATAATGATTGTAACATTTGGTTATACTTATAAAATATTTTCAACATTTTAATTTTATAATCGAAGTGATTTTTGGACATGACATAACAATTTCCAAAATCACTCCAAACCTACCCTTAGTTTTGAAGTCTGTTTTGAAGTCTGTTTTGAGCTAAAGGGTACAGTTGGGATATAGATATTATTGAATTAAGATAAACATAGGATACGATGTACCTGAGCATAACAGACGACCCTCCCCACGACAAGTCAGACACTTGGTAGATGTGTACTTGGTTTTGCCATCAGAAGCTTTTCCATTTGAACTAAGAAGTCGTGCGGGGTCTTCCCATCGGTTCTCTCCTAAGAGAAAAACTCGCTGTTGGGACACATCAAAACTCGCACTGCCTTCTTTTACTACCGTCTTCTGAATCTCTGATATTTCAGTTATTGAGTTAACAACAGCAGCTACATTATCACCTTCCTACCGTCTTCTGAATCTCTGATATTTCAGTTATTGAGTTAACAACAGCAGCTACATTATCACCTTCCTGAAAGAGGGGAAGAAACATGTGAGTTAATAAAAAATTACAAAAAAGAAAAAGAAAAAAATTAAAGATAATTGTCTAATAATTTATTGACTTGAATAAGTTTAGTAAAATGGTTAGTTTTTGTCGAGGAGATTTATTAGTAGTTACTAAAGAAAATTTAGAAAATTTGTTAATTTCTGCCCTATAAATATTCATGAGCTAGTTACCAACCACAAAGAGAACAAAAAAACATTATTAAGTGCTTAAGATTCCTCTATCCAACAAGTTGTTTTTTCTAATTCGAACTGTTTGTTTCGACATATTTCGATCGTGGATCACCTCTAACGTAGCAACACTTTTAACCATATTAGTGTGCTTTTAACCATATTAGTGAAAAGGTAGAAGTAGAAGAGCAATATTTAGAGTGCAAATAGTATTCAGTGCTAGGCAAACGGTAATCCTACAATTGGCAACATTTAGAAGACAAAATGACAAAAAAAATGGCATACAAGTTTAAAACGGTAATCCTACAATTGGCAACATTTAGAAGACAAAATGACAAAAAAAATGGCATACAAGTTTACTGAAAGCATAACTAACAAAAAGCAATACGCACAAGATGATTAACACAAATTCTATGAGAGAATGATACTTAAAAACGTTGCAACTTTTGTTCAAGCAGACAGCCATTTGCTTGTGCAAGACGAGATCAGTTTACTCGATGGAATTCTAGAAGAGTGGGATGAGAAAAATTTGTTGATACCAATGGAGCAGGCAATGCACCCTCTAATAGGATCTGTTCTCTATAAGTTGTACGGCCGTGTCCTAAAGTTCTAAAGATACAGAAACTCGCATCTGAACATCGTGGACATACTAATAAAAAGGTTGTTAAGGTTCCTAAGCAACACATTGATTACTCAAGGAAATAGGTCAAAATATACTAATAAAAAGGTTGTTAAGGTTCCTAAGCAACACATTGATTACTCAAGGAAATAGGTCAAAATCTTGACTGTGCACTCTCGAGTATCAAATATATTCTTCATCTAAAGCATACAAGACAGTTGCCATAAAGTAAATGTACAGAAATCACCAAATATTTCAATTCAAAGAAGGCTATCATGCACACACCAAANTATATATATATATATATATATATATATATATATATCATATTCTACTTTTAAAACCCACATATCTGCCCCAACAGAATCATCATCTTATTTTTAGTGGCTATGAATTAGTAATATATATATATATATATAACAAAATTGAATAGGGATCTTAATAAGAGAACAATTAAATGGACGAGTGAAAAGTCATACCTATTGCAGTCTTCCCTTCGCATGCGTCGCATATTGTATAACCAAGGCCTTCGCAGTATGGACATTTTGCTCCTTCATCCACCCATTCCAGAAACTGCATAATTCAATCCATTCTTCTGAGTTACCACCACTTCTAAACTAAACTGAAGGCAATAAAGATGGGTGCATTAGTGGGGTGGGCGGCTTTACCTGTGGTTCAACATTTGGCTCACCAGATCCATCGCATTCTGAGAAACCAAAACTTGTTATATATTGAGTAGAGCAGAGGAGAGATATATTTATTTAAGAAGAGAGGTAGAATATGGGGATTTGAATCCTCCTCCGACTTCAGAGAAAAATTTAGATGTCAATTATCTTCGAACTAAAGAGTGACTTGACAAATATTTATGAAGATGTGTGGAATAAAATTTCAAAAGCATCCTGTCCCAAATGCATGTAAAAGTAAACGAGATAAGAAAGTTAAAAATGATATTTTAGAGAATCATTGATAAAAAAATAAAAATAAAACAACATGATTTGTTTATAAGAGAATTATTACAAGTTTTTTTTTTTCTTCAAATAATGATTGTAACATTTGGTTATACTTATAAAATATTTTCAACATTTTAATTTTATAATCGAAGTGATTTTTGGACATGACATAACAATTTCCAAAATCACTCCAAACCTACCCTTAGTTTTGAAGTCTGTTTTGAAGTCTGTTTTGAGCTAAAGGGTACAGTTGGGATATAGATATTATTGAATTAAGATAAACATAGGATACGATGTACCTGAGCATAACAGACGACCCTCCCCACGACAAGTCAGACACTTGGTAGATGTGTACTTGGTTTTGCCATCAGAAGCTTTTCCATTTGAACTAAGAAGTCGTGCGGGGTCTTCCCATCGGTTCTCTCCTAAGAGAAAAACTCGCTGTTGGGACACATCAAAACTCGCACTGCCTTCTTTTACTACCGTCTTCTGAATCTCTGATATTTCAGTTATTGAGTTAACAACAGCAGCTACATTATCACCTTCCTGAAAGAGGGGAAGAAACATGTGAGTTAATAAAAAATTACAAAAAAGAAAAAGAAAAAAATTAAAGATAATTGTCTAATAATTTATTGACTTGAATAAGTTTAGTAAAATGGTTAGTTTTTGTCGAGGAGATTTATTAGTAGTTACTAAAGAAAATTTAGAAAATTTGTTAATTTCTGCCCTATAAATATTCATGAGCTAGTTACCAACCACAAAGAGAACAAAAAAACATTATTAAGTGCTTAAGATTCCTCTATCCAACAAGTTGTTTTTTCTAATTCGAACTGTTTGTTTCGACATATTTCGATCGTGGATCACCTCTAACGTAGCAACACTTTTAACCATATTAGTGTGCTTTTAACCATATTAGTGAAAAGGTAGAAGTAGAAGAGCAATATTTAGAGTGCAAATAGTATTCAGTGCTAGGCAAACGGTAATCCTACAATTGGCAACATTTAGAAGACAAAATGACAAAAAAAATGGCATACAAGTTTACTGAAAGCATAACTAACAAAAAGCAATACGCACAAGATGATTAACACAAATTCTATGAGAGAATGATACTTAAAAACGTTGCAACTTTTGTTCAAGCAGACAGCCATTTGCTTGTGCAAGACGAGATCAGTTTACTCGATGGAATTCTAGAAGAGTGGGATGAGAAAAATTTGTTGATACCAATGGAGCAGGCAATGCACCCTCTAATAGGATCTGTTCTCTATAAGTTGTACGGCCGTGTCCTAAAGTTCTAAAGATACAGAAACTCGCATCTGAACATCGTGGACATACTAATAAAAAGGTTGTTAAGGTTCCTAAGCAACACATTGATTACTCAAGGAAATAGGTCAAAATCTTGACTGTGCACTCTCGAGTATCAAATATATTCTTCATCTAAAGCATACAAGACAGTTGCCATAAAGTAAATGTACAGAAATCACCAAATATTTCAATTCAAAGAAGGCTATCATGCACACACCAAATACAGATTCATGAAATAAAAAGTTCTCAAACATACTTTCTGATCTGTAGGAATATTCCCTTTTTCATCTGTTTTGGCATCTGATCCAACACTCTCAGTTACTTTCTCCCCGTATAAAATCTCAAGGAGTTCTGCAGTCATTATACCATCTTCACGGAAACCTGAGGTGGCCTATCAAATAAAAGTATAGGTTTGAAGCAAAGATTGAAACAATGATGTCGATATCGATATCGATATCGAAATAACAATTTTAAGGACACGCTTAAATTAATAATCGAAGCTTTTTCACTTTCTAAATAAGTTATAAATCTTTAATATCTATATTCATATTTAATTTATACAAAAATATTAGACCTTAATGTTGAACTCTCTGATTTACATTTATATCACACATCGATGGATGTTTCAAATAGAAAGAACGTGTACTAAATTCGTATATATTTAATATATACAAAATATTAGAGATTGATAAGTCCTTAACAGTGAACTCTCTAATTTACATTTGGATCATGCATCGATGGATGTTTCAAATTGAAAGAATGTGTACTGAATCCGTATAGATGCCATTGAATGAGTAAAGAATGACAAACTAATGCCAACGCCAGTGACTTACTTGCCAAGTCTTGACGGCACGCTCAGTTCCACTGGAGAAACTTGAAAACTCCATGTCTTCTTCGCCAGAGTAAAATCCTAGCCTCAGCAATGCTTCCTGACATTTTAGTTCAATGATCTTCATACTAAAATTAAAATTAAAGCATTATAACTACCTAAAATCAAGAAGACAGTACTCGCATTTCGAAAGAAAAAAAAAAAGGAAAAAGAACAGAAAAGTGCACGAGATAGAGACTCAATTAGACTAGATTTCAAAAAACCGAACAAATTCCTCAACATCAACCACAGAGTCGAATCGACTATATTCACGGGCCTATTTATCACATATAATAATATTCATGTTTTTTTTTTTTTCCAGCTTCAATCTATATTATCTTTTTTTTTTTTTTATCTTAAAATTAATCTCAAATGCACAGCGTTCATAAGCAGATTGATCTGCCACAATGCTTACATTTGGTTAAGAAATTCGATCCAATTATATGGAAGACACAAAATCATAGGAACAAAAGCAGCACGAAACTTAAAACTCGCCTTCTAATATTTGATAGAAGAAATGCGTATGACGAGCAGACCTGCATCGCAAGAACTTCCGCTCCTTCCGAACCAATTCTTAAGGACTTTCTCTCATTCTTCACCTCTTTCTCTGCTTTAATCTCGTCGGAATACCTAACAACTTTTTCAACAATTGCCTTATTCTCTATCACTTCTTCAACAATTGTTTTCTTCTCTATCTCCACGTCCTCTTCACGAGTGCTCTCATCCAACAATATGCGACTCACCGACGCTCCGCTCTCGGCAATCAGATTCTTCTCCTTCAACACCTGTAACAGGCCGGCGATATTCGCAATAGTCTCTGAGGCCGAAACCGTCCCTCCTTGCATAGAATGTTGGCGTTCTAACGCCTGAATTTGAAGCTTAAGCTCGGCAATTTCCTGCAAAAGCGACTTGCGTTCTCTGTCCCAACGCTGCTCTTCGCGAATCCACCGTTCCTCTTCGCGAAGCCATCGCTGCTCCTCACGAATCCATCGAATCTCCTCACGTTCGTTGCTAGCGGGATTCAGAGAGCGACAGATGAAGGAATTGGCAAAAGAACGAGATGAGAGCTTGGGAGATGAGAAGATTGAGAGAGAAACGGGGAAGAAGCGGTGAGGTGTGAGGTGAAGAGAAGGATTGAGGAGAGGAAGAGTAATGGAGGAAGACATTGAAATGCAGCAGAGAAATTGAGGAGAGCGCGGAAGAAAGGGGAGAAATGGAGGAACGTCGAAGGAATAGAAGTGACTGTCTGAAGATATTTTTCCGATTAGCAAATCCCAGACCGCACATTTTAAACCACACGCTTTGCGTGAAGCAACTGGCGGGAAATCCCGACTCAGCCGAGCCGAGCCATAGCCTCATACTCATAGCCATCTTTTATTCATTTATTTATTTATTTATTTATTATATTAAAATATAATTTTAGTCCCTTTAATTTAGATAAAGTATCAACTATTATTATTTTGTATTTAAAAAACCCACTTTTATTGTATACTTTTGTGGAAATAATAAAATTAGTTACTCCAATAACTAACGACCGATTTGTGGTGTCTAGTCCGTTTATTCGAGATGGGAGGAAGCTTTCAATCACAATGTTCTTGCCTCCCCTGTTCGGGCTCTCACTCAATCTAATAACATGGATCATTTATTGTCTAATTTTATAAAATAGAAAAAGAAAAAATCACTTTTGTAGTACAACAAATGACATGTATGAAGATTTAAGCCAAGAGTTTAAACAACTCTTTAACGAGGCTTTAAAGAGAACAAAGAAGTGCAGTAGCATAGAATGCAAAAAGATAAATGATTCTAATAATGGAATTATTTTGGACCTTGGAAAACTCATGTTCAACAAAAATAAAAGTACAACAAAGCTAAATAATCTTTATCTCCACTTCTCACAATCTACCAAATCACTAACAAGAGGCGTTTCGACCTCAGCCTCAGTGATCGATGGACCTTTGATAATATACATAACCGAATCTCGTTTCAAAAATAACTTTATTATACAACAACCCATCTTGTTATCCATTCAATATATAGCTATCAATAACTTGTAGAAAGCATACCATACCATTGCTACCATTAATAATAAGGTTTTCTACATCAAAATGTAGACAAGAACGTTGTTGAAAGGGCCACTTACACAAATCTCATGCCGAAAATGCTTCAATGGTGGACAAAGACCAAGTCGAGCATCCATCAGTTGGCGGTTTCGTTCAATCTTAGTCCAATTTGACGTTAGAATAGAGGAGGGTGTCCCTTGTCAGAGGCATCCTTAGAAGGCAGCATGACTGCACAGTCGAAGAACAAGGGTCAGCAAAAATTGAAAAGGTTGAAAATATTTCAATCTCACCCAATTTAGACCATGAAAGCAAAATGTACCAACCATCAATAGTAATGTACTCAATTTTTATGAACAGATACAACGAACCCTTTTTTTATATAAAAGTTGGGCAATATAAGATTTAGATAATACAAGGAAAAAGAATGTCAACAATCAAAATGACACTTTCAATTGATCATGAAGATATATGTCTTGTTTGATAACTATTTAGCCCCGTTTGATAACCGTCTAGTTTTAAAAAATTGAACCGGAACCTATACATACTACTTCCACCTATACTTATAGGTTTCCTGGTTTTGTTACCTACTTTTTATCTATGTTTTCAAAACCAAGCCAAGTTTTGAAAACAAAAAAAAGTAACAATTTAAAAATATGTGTTTTCGTTTTTCAAATTTGGTTAAGAATTCAAATGTTCTCTAAAGAGCAATGAAGCCTATTGTAAAGAAACGATGAGAAAATAACCATAGTTTTCAAAGATCAGTTAGGACTTGGTATTATTTAAAACAGTTTTCATCTTTCTTAAAGAAAATTTTGAAACATTAGCCAAATTCCAAAAACAAGTTTTTAAAAGCTAACTCTAAAATTCAGCTTGGAAACATTTGTAAAAAGTAGATGACAAAAAAAGAAACCTATAAGTAGAAGTAATGATTATAAACTTAATTTTGAAAAGGCCACAAAAGTAGTAGTGATTATAAACTTAACTTTCAAAAGGCCAGAAAAAACAAGAACAGTTGTTGAGAAAAAAGAAGAAAATAATAGGTTCACCAATGTAAGTTTATTTTAAATACTAAAGTAGAGGTGCAAAACTTACCCCCATAAGAGTAGCAATCAAAAGGATGATTCCTGTGATCCAGGCAAGGGTAGTCCTAACCAATATAACTTCTTGAATAGTTGTGTTAACTTTGACTTCTTCCACCAACCAACGTGGAGTCTGCCGAGGGTTAAACATCACATTTAATCCTTTTTCTGCCTTTGGCGATGATGATCCAGAAAAGAAAATGACTCCAACAATTTCACCTACAAGTTAAATTACAGGTATTTACGTAAATACTAAATCATTTGTTCCAAAACCAAAAGACGTGTCACCATTGACAATAATACACATACTCATCCAGTCATCATGGAACAAGAATAACACAAAAGTCAATATGTTATATATCAGTTTGCATAAAAATACACTTCTTAACAAAAAAAAGGGTAGCTGAAAGAGACTAGAGCTTAATCATGAATAATTGATACACTTCTCAAACAAAAGCAACTACTTACCATCATATGCTTTTTGGAGTAAGTGGAATATCTTGGACAATGTAACAGTAAAGAGTCTCGATCTACGATCAGCATCTCCTTCAGAATCACTTTGATCTTTGAATGCCTGCTAACCCGTTGGAGAATATTGATTAGAATAAATGAAATTAGACGGAAAAAAAAAGTGATGGCATTATTGTGGAGAATCAGAACACACAGCCACATTCAACATATGTTATTTTGATGCAAAAATGTATTTTTCAAGAAGGTGGCAGAAATAAGGTTACGCGCATCACCTATAGAAGTACTATTGTTTTGTAACACGAGAAACCATAGTACTAATGGCCGCATCAGTGTCTCTATTGATGATTAAATGTTCAATATTGAATGTTACAAACAGAAGTTGAATAATGTTATCCCAAAGAAGAAACATCAAAATCAGGGAAAACAGCGTACCTTGATGCTATTGAACGAGCCGGTGATAAGCTCAGATGGACTTTGCACGTTTTGTGACAAATCCTCATGAATGTGTATAGCCCTTCTAATATTGTGAACTAGACATAAAAGACTGCCTATAATTTCTCTGTCCCCTGTCTGCAAGTGAGCATAAAACACCAGTGAACACATGAATAGGAGAAGTTTAGAAATAACCGAGTAACATTCTGAAAAGAGGGAGAAAACCTTAGACAGATGAAGATTTATCTGAACAGCATCACTCAAGGGCACAGCCAATTCCCCATTTAAAGTTTTTGATGCATCAGCAGCATAAGATCCACCAATAAAAGAGGCCTAGTCAGATATACAAACAAGCATTGTTAAAAATGAAATGAGTAAAAATATAGGCATCAAATTATACAATAAATATCATGACTTACAAATTCTCTAATGTCTTCATCTGTATAATCTGACAATGGTTCATTCAAAGCAACAATAGACACTTCAGCCTCACCTGCAAATAACTAGCATTAGAAAGAGCCAAAGGTATAACAGCCCAAGCCCAAGCCCACCGCTAACAGATATTGTCCGCTTTAGCCCAAGCCCGTTACGTATTTCTATCAGCTTCACGGTTTCAAAACACGTCTATTAGGGAGAGGTTTCCACACCCTTATAAGAAATGTTTCATTTCCTTCTCCAACTAACGTGGGATCTCACAATCCACCCCCCTTGGGGACCCAGCGTCCTCACTGGCCCGCTCGGTGTCTGACTCTAATACCATTTATAACACGTTAACAGATATTGTCCACTTTGGACCGTTACGTATCATCGTCAGCCTCACAATTATAAAACGCGTCTGTTGTGGAGAGGTTTCCACAACCTTATAAGGAATGTTTACGTTCCCCTCTCCAACCAATGTGGGATCTCACAAAAGGGTGGCTGAAAATATTTGGAAAAAAAAAAAGCAACAATGATTTTGGAAGGAACAAGTACCAGGAAGGTGGATGTCAGCACTCTCAGAACCTGCATGAACCTTGCTCGTAAGGACATTGCCGGACAAGCCACTTTCGAGGTTTACAAATTCAGGATCTGCAGTATCAGAAGAAGAATAAAATGTTTACGCCTTTAAAAAACAAGCAAGTAAAAATAATGTTTACAATATTATTGTCAAAATTACTGCAGAGACCATATGCTCCTTTAATTTCAAGCATAAAAACTGAACGAGGCCTATCAAGAGGATTTGGCATCAAAATCCCATTCAACTGCAAAAGGGATCATCAATAACATGATTAAAACCTTGCGGCAGCAGAGAGACGTAAAATTTAAAAGGAAAACATCTGCTGAATTAATCAAACAATTAAGAACCTTAGATGAGCCAGAAGCTGAAAGTGTTGAAAACGGTGCAAAACCAAGCAAGACTGACACAGCAGCCCCAACTTCTGGAAGTGACATCGAACTAAGCTGTGGAAATCAAATATGCACGCATAACATGAGAAGCTAAATTATAAACAAAAGTACCCCTTAACTTTGTTCTTTGTTTCAAAACTACCATTCAAGCAGAAACCATTAGAATGGTAGACGAAATGCCAACATGTTTGAATGTCGTTCTTTAAAACTTAGTCCCGACAAGTATTTTTATCACCAACACATCGTCCACGTTGTTTTCAATCCAACATTTGAAGGAACTTCTACTCGAAGGATACTTTTGAAATTTGTATGAAAAGTCAAGGATAATATTGCAACCTTTAACAGCATGGAGGTATTTTTTAAACAAAAGGCAAAGTTATTGAAATTTTTTTAAAATCCATTCACAATAGTACATCAATTCTAAACAGAAATGGCCGATACCGCTAATTAGAGAGATGAGCTCCTGAATACCAAATTGAAATAATCCGTATATATCGATGCGAAACATTGACACATTCAAGAAAGAACTCAACTCAGTTCTAAAAGCAAGTAGTTCCAGATTCAGTTTCTTCAATCCGCCAGAATTCGCAATGCGCAAACACAAACACGGCAAACAATTTCAAAACAATTCAACGTCACAACTCAAGTCTATTATCAGCTAACCAATAAAACCGATAACACCGGAGCGAAAAAAAAAAAAAACAGAATAAACTAAATTACCTCGACGCCATCATCTGGTGAATGAGATCGAAGATAATGATGCGAGGAGCTATCGACGAAAAGCACCGTACCAGTATCCTCGCACTGGATCAAACAAGGAAAAAATCAAACACGTCAAATTGAAGAATTATCAAATCCCGCGGTTGCTACGTAGAATTAATCTACGTGTGTTTAGAATCAAACAGAACCATCGAAATTAAGAGAAAGAACGAACCCGGGCGAAAGGGAGGATGATTAACAGAGTGAAGAATATGAATGAATTGCAGAATTCCATCTTGAAGAGAATCTGTGAACCCTGTGGCCTTGGAAGAACGAGATGAATCGGAAATCGCCGAGACGATTTCTACACACCTGAACAACGTGGGTTGCGTCGGGCCGATTTGTGGGCTCTTGATTCTGTCGGTATGTCCTCGAAACATCCATCGAATCAGCCCAAGTTCATCTTGTTTCGTTAAAAATAAATAAATAAATAAATAATAACTCACTTTTTTCCCCTTTCTTTTTAAGAGTAATAATTTATATAGTTAAAATAAGTAATAATAATATTTTTTTTATTTAGTTAAAATTATTTAATACTTCAACTAAAAAATAAAATAGCAACAATAATTAATTATTTAATTATATCAACATTCTCATTTCCTTTCAGCTACCCTGTTAAAAAGGTACAATGTCTAAAACACCCTTGTAGACATTACCAAAACTACCCATGAGTTCTAGGATTCCTATTTTCCATGGCCATCAAAACCAAGCGTGATTCACCTTTAATATTTAAATAAACTAACCAGAGTTAGTTAATTTGCGCCAGAGTTAATTCAGCGACCGTTAATATTTAACCAATCTAACCATGCTTAGTTAATTTGCACGTTGATTGAGCTACTACATACTTAATCATGTATTTATTAAGGGTGTGTGAAACTTGTCCCTAACAAACGCATTCTAAAATTGTGAGACTTACGGCAATACGTAACGAGTTAAAACGGACAATATCTATTAGTCGTAGACTTTAACTATTACAAATAGTTTTTAGACATCGAGCAGTGTGCCAGCGAGTACGCTAGGCCCTCAACGGGGTGGATTGTAAAATCCTACATTGGTTAGAGAGGATAACGAAACACTCTTTATAAGGGCGTGAAAACCTTTTTTTAATAGACACGTTTTAAAATCGTGACACTAACTATGACATATAACGGGTCAACGCGAACAAGGTTGACGACGATAGAGTTTAAATAAATAATATATATATATATATATATATATATATATATATATATATATATATATATATATATATATAATTATTTATTTATTTATTTATTATTATTATTATTATTATTTTTTTTTTTTGAGTTATTGAAAGACTGTAATAATTTATATTTATAACTGACTAGAATCGTATCTATTCATTAACATTACCATCGTCATTCTATTTAAATGAGTAGTAATTTTTATTAATTTTTTATTCGCATATTAAAAAAATTATGCAAAACTTGTTTTAGATATATATATATATATATACACACGCACGTGTGTGTAAATACAAAAAAACAATACAATGAGTTGGTTAATAAATAATTTTATTATTAATAAAGAACTATGGAAGCATTGATGCCATTATCCAACAGAACCGAATATGAATGTGTAATTATTCAATTATTTTAATTTCAAATTACAAATATTCATAAATAAATAAAACGACAGCAAACAAGTACGAAACGACGCAACAAAATAATACATGAAAACACACAAATTATTTAAATTAATTAATGACGTACGCAATAATAATTAATAACATTGCTTTACAGCATTAGCGTCATACTGCATGCATGAAGAAGACTCGGTCCTAGATCCGTCGTCCAAAACGCACCGTATTGGTCCCAAACGGATATAAACGGCCATTTTCCCGATCACTATTTTTTCCAACCAAATTTCCGACCGCCATTTCATTTTTTTTTTTCTTAAATTAAATTTAAAATTACGTAATTTAAAACCACCTATCCCACGTGGATAACTAAACATATTATTTCCGATAAGAAATAGATATTTTATCACAGTACAATTTAGTGGTGGCCGCCGCCGCCGCCTCCAAATCCTGCTCCTCCGCCGTAACCGCCTCCGCCACCAAAGCCTCCACCTCCACCGAGACCACCTCCCCCGCCTGCTCCTCCTCCGAATCCGCCACCACCCCCTGCACCACCACCGCCACCAAAGCCTCCCCCGGCACCTCCTCCATACCCACCGCCAACTCCTCCTCCCAGACCGCCTCCACCGCCGCCAAGACCACCTCCTCCTCCATATCCTCCACCGCCACCAAGACCACCACCACCACCTCCAAATCTTCTATGCTTAAAACCTCTCTTGTAAATGCCATGCCCTATCCCTCCACCTCCACCCAAACCACCTCCTCCGCCTAACCCTCCACCACCACCCAACTCTCCACCGCCGCCCAATCCTCCATGTCTAAAACCCTTTTTATGAATACCATGCCCGAACCCTCCTCCACCGCCCAACCCACCTCCTCCACCATACCCACCGCCAAAACCTCCGCCTCCGCCGCCACCAAAACCGCCACCACCACCGAGACCTCCTCCATGGAACCCTTTACCCTTAAAATAACCAAGTGGGCGATGAAAGACCACCACCACCGAGACCTCCTCCATGGAACCCTTTACCCTTAAAATAACCAAGTGGGCGATGAAAGAAACGCTTGTCGTCTTCTACATTGTTAGCTCCGACCAAAGCAATCAACAAACAGAAGCAAAAAGCCGCAAAACGCAGAGAAAAAGACGCCATTATTGGTCGCTTAGCTCTGAGAACACACAGAAGCACTAAGCCGCAAAACGCAGAGAAAAAGACGCCATTATTGGTCGCTTAGCTCTGAGAACACACAGAAGCACTGCAGTTTATATAGAGCAAAAAGAATCAACATACAAAAATAAAATAAAATTAAATAATTAAATAAATAAATGCAAATTTATTGAATTGAAGGAGAAGGAGGTCCACAATGCGAGTGGATCATCATCCAAAGCTTTTGGGACAAGAGTTAATGAGCCTCATCTACCCCTTCTGCCATTTAATTTTCCAACTGTCTCACGCGCCCAATTTATTATTATTTTAAAATTAAGCTTATTTTGTTATCTATTTTATTTAATGTTTAAAAAATTAAGACAAAATTTAAAATAAAAATTCAAAAACTTAATTGTTATGTTAAGAAAGCTTTGTAATTATAACTTTCTCTAAATAATAGCTTTGTAATTAACCTTTCTTTTTTCATTTTTGTTATTATCTTAATTGCCATTGATATTATAATTAAATATATTAATTACAACTTTTATAAATTAAATTGTTATTATCTTAATTGCCATTGATATTATAATTAAATATATTAATTACAACTTTTATAAATTAAAATTAGGACTATTTAATATATTTTATATTAATTAATCAATCCATTTAAATTTTAAAAAATTAAAAAATTACATTAAAACATTAGTTATTGAACGTTAAATGATCAATTTTTTTTAAAATAAATTTATTTATTTATTTAGTCATTTAATGTTTAATAATGTAAAATAAATACATTTTTTTCGATACAATTTAATTTCATGGAAGAAAAAAAAACGAAAAAAAAAATTAAATATTAAATTTGACCTTAAAATCTAAATACAACGGTAATACTCATATTATTATTATTGTTTATTTTGTATAATCAAGACAGAAAAGAAAAAAATCCATAATTTTCCTTTTTACAATATATTATTTTCATTTTTAGAAAAATGTGACCCATTACTTTATTAATAAATTAAAGTATTACCATTTTAGTTTCTATTATTTATAAAATTGAAAAAAAAAATTAAAATTTAGTCCTAAAAATATGAACTATGGGGGCAGTCCTATAATACGAGAACCGATCAACCTGAATTATCTAACCTAAATCTTAATGGTTAGGTTGGGCTAGGTTTTTTATGTGTTGGGTCAGGTCAAATTTTTGGAAAATTGAGAAAAAATCGAGTTCGATTTGTGGGTTGACATCTTTTTGGTCGGTCTATTCAACCAACTCGAAAATAGAACTACAATCCAACTAAACTTTACCCTACTTTTAAAATTATTATGAATATTAAGAATATTTTATATTTGTAAGTGATACCGTATAACTTGTGAATGTTTGATATTTTAGTTTCATGAGATTTTAATCAATAATGTAACGGATGATTTTTTTTAATAATTCAACAAATAATTTGACAACTCAACTCAACCCAACTTGAAAATAGAAGGTTAGATCGAGTTGGGTGATCAACTCTATTCGGGTCATCAATCCAACCAACCCAAAATTTTGAATTGTTCTAAAAGATTTCTCCAATGCAGCTTTGGCTCGACTTGTAACGACTATTCACGAGAATTTATTAAATTATAATAGATAAATATGATTTTTTTTAATATAAAAAAATAATCCGAACTCAACCCAACCCAACTAGAAAATAGAGGGTTGGATCGAGTTAGATGGTCAACTCTATTCAGGTCAACAATCCAACCAACCCGAAATTTTGAATTATTCTAAAAGATTTCTCGAACGCAGCCCTGGCTGCCTGTAACAACTCTTCACTAGAGTTTATCAATTTATAATGGCATAATTTCCAATATGGTTATACCCATTAATTAGGGTTTTGACCTTTGGGTTTTTTTTTAGGATCAGGCAGAAGGGGTGGGGTTTTGAATTGGGCAAGAGTGGTTATAAAAAGGCAGTTCCAATGGCTAATATGGGTTCTAATGTGATATCATTTAATAAGGGAGCTGTTGGGTTATGCTATTAATGGCACAGCTAAAAGGATGTCCTCCCACCAACTTTGCACCTAAGCTAAAACTACTTGTACTTTACTTTTATATTCCCATGCCTATTCTCTCCGTTTTTTTACAGATGTTCGGTCTCTAAATTTTAAGAGTTGTGTTGAAGGGAAGTGAGCGGTTTTGTTTCATGCAACAACTTTTGTTGAAGGATCGTGAGTGCGTGAAAGGGTTAAAGGGTATGATCTACAGTTCGGTGAAGTTCAATATCATTTCGTTCAAATGTTTAAGGTCTCGGGAACTGAGATAAGACAGTAACATAGTAAATTTTTAAAATTTTCAAAAGATTCTTATATAAATGTTAAAGGTTTTCAGGAACTGAAACAAGAGAATGACTCGTAAATTTCTAATATAAATGTTAAAGTCTCAAGAACTGAGTCAGGAGAGTGACCCATAAATTTCTAAATTTTTCAAAAGCTCAATTTATTACTATTTTCATATTCTTATAATTTATTTGATTATAAATAGATAACTTTTACACACCATTTAGTTAGGGTGGATTAAGCAAACATTCTAAATAAATATTAGAGGTTTCAAGAACAGAGACAAGAGAGTGACCGGTAAATTTCCAAAATGTTCGAAATATTCTAATATAAATGTTAAAGGAATCGGGACCAGAGAGTGATCCGTAAATTTCTTAAATTTTCAAAAAATTTAAATATAAATGTTAAAGGTCTTGGAAATTGAGATAGGAGAGTGACCGGTAAATTTCTAAATTTTTCAAAATATTTTAATATAAAGGTTTAGTTTCGAGAACTGAGACAAGAGAGTCACTAGTAAATTTCTAAATTTTTCAAAAGATTATAATATATATGTTAACGGTTTCGAGAACTAAACAAGAGGGTGACTCGTAAATTTATTAAATTTTCAAAAGATTTTAATATAAATGTTAAAGATATCGGAAACTAAGAAAAGAGATTGAGCCGTAAATTTTTAAAATTTTCAAAAGATTCTAATAGAAATGTTAAAGGTCTCGAGATAAGAGAGTGACCTATAAATTTATAAATTTTTCAAAAGATTATAATATAAATGTTAAGGGTCTCGAAAACTGAGATGAGAGAGTGACCCGTAAATTTCTACAATGAGGGAAGATTTTCAAATGGAAATAACGATAAAATATGTGTAATTTTGTTCTTCCACATTTTTTTTAAATAAAATTAAATATTAATGTGTAATATTTAAATGAACGAGATAATATATTTAAAAATGTTTGCTTAATTTGTGTGAAAGTTTCTATTTATAATCAAATAAATTATAAGGATACGTAGTAGTAACAAAGGAAACAACAATATATAAAGATACTTATAAATATATATATAATAAATTATAATTCAGTACTAAATATCTTTAATGACCTTAGTAATTAATTACATTATATTAAAACTTAACCTTTGTATTTATGGTTTAAAAAAAATGGATTATAATATATGGATGAGATGCTACCCAAATGAGTGAGTTGCTTGAGGGTAGTTTTGGTAATTTTTTTTAGCTCGGTTTTATAATTTCTAATTTATTTTTAGAAAAAAATGAGAATTTTAGTTGTTTTCATTTCATATAAATATTTATAAAATTGTGTTGAAAATTTGGAAACCACAAACCATATTTTCTTTTATTATTTTTTTTTTCTTCACTTGACATAATAAAAATTTATCCTATGATTTTTTTTTCTTTCATAATTAATGTCTAAAAATGGATGGCATTGAAATTAAAAAAAAAAAAAAGTTTAAAATTTAAAAATTACAAATAATTGAAGAAATGTTTTTTTATTTAAAAATATAAATATAAATAATAATGATGGCTAGTCGTATCCCCTATAATAATATATAACTTCATATAGGAATAATTGATGGCTAGTCGTATCCCCCTATAATACATACATCTTAGGTCACTTAGAGACATTGACATGATTTTTCCAAAACGTTGTATACTTACACATATAATAAAAAATTACATCATGAAAATAAAAAAAAAAAGCAATAAATCGACGTAACACAAGGGATTTGACATGTAGAGAACATACCGTCATGGACAATGCACCTTAAACAAATAAGACGACGACAACAAACCATTATATTTATTTTTATTTAAAATAATACGTAAATATTAGAGTTTGCATTTTTGGTAAAATAATCAATTTGAATTTGAATTTAAATCTCCAAACTTTCCAAATGAATAATTAAAATTAAATTTTATTTTTTATTTTTTCATCCAAATTTCAAATTAGAGATATTTAGAAATTTAAAATTTATTTCTAATGGTTTAAAAATTTGAAATTAACTAAAGATATTTATCCATTTAAAAAATAATAATTTAAAATCAAATTAATACGTCACTTACTAAATCCCTAAATTTGAAGATACCTATCTTGGTTTTGGTCCAAACAGAATAACTGTCATATTAATTAAATAAAAAATTCGGTAAAATTTATATTTTCATTTAAAAATTATTTAATAAAGATAAAAACTAACTATTAAATATATTTCTAAAAAAGAAAAAAAAAAGACAAAAATGAATATTCCAAAGTAATTATCTCTCGGGACCCCATCTTCTTCCGTTTGATAGAAGACTAAGTCAACTGCTTACTTCATCTTCAAAGTCCACGTGTACAATCCAAAACCCTAACATAACGACGCTAAATTTTCCGTGCCGGTTTACAGGCAAAAAGGGAAAAAGTACCAACGCCGTATACTGACGGATCTATTCAATTCGGATCCGAGCCTCAGGTATGGAGTGAGGTTCGGACCGAGAACTAAGCTTTTGAAGTCCTCGAAGGCTCAAACAAGTATGATGTTAACTTTGAGCAGTTCGAGCCTGGTAA